CAGTCAATGTTTCCTCACATAACATTACAGTCAGTGTTTCCTCACATAGCATAACAATCAGTGTTTCCTCACCTAACATTACAGTCAATGTTTCCTCACATAACATAACAGTCAATGTTTCCTCACCTAACATAGCAGTCAATGTTTCCTCACATAACATAGCAGTCAATGTTTCCTCACATAACATTACAGTCAGTGTTTCCTCACATAGCATAACAATCAGTGTTTCCTCACCTAACATAGCAGTCAATGTTTCCTCACCTAACATAGCAGTCAATGTTTCCTCACCTAACATAGCAGTCAATGTTTCCTCACCTAACATAGCAGTCAGTGTTTCCTCACATAACATAGCAGTCAATGTTTTTTTTCACATAACATAACAGTCAATGTTTCCTCACCTAACATAGCAGTCAATGTTTCCTCACATAACACAGCAGTCAATGTTTCCTCACATAGCATAACAATCAGTGTTTCCTCACCTAACATAGCAGTCAATGTTTCCTCACATAACATAACAGTCAATGTTTCCTCACCTAACATAGCAGTCAATGTTTCCTCACATAACATAGCAGTCAATGTTTCCTCACATAACATTACAGTCAGTGTTTCCTCACATAGCATAACAATCAGTGTTTCCTCACCTAACATAGCAGTCAGTGTTTCCTCACCTAACATAGCAGTCAATGTTTCCTCACATAACATAGCAGTCAGTGTTTCCTCACATAACATAGCAGTCAATGTTTCCTCACATAACATTACAGTCAGTGTTTCCTCACATAGCATAACAATCAGTGTTTCCTCACCTAACATAGCAGTCAATGTTTCCTCACCTAACATAGCAGTCAATGTTTCCTCACCTAACATAGCAGTCAATGTTTCCTCACATAACATAACAGTCAATGTTTCCTCACATAACACAGCAGTCAATGTTTCCTCACATAGCATAACAATCAGTGTTTCCTCACCTAACATAGCAGTCAATGTTTCCTCACATAACATAGCAGTCAATGTTTCCTCACATAACATTACAGTCAGTGTTTCCTCACATAGCATAACAATCAGTGTTTCCTCACCTAACATAGCAGTCAATGTTTCCTCACCTAACATAGCAGTCAATGTTTCCTCACCTAACATAGCAGTCAATGTTTCCTCACCTAACATAGCAGTCAATGTTTCCTCACATAACACAGCAGTCAATGTTTCCTCACATAACATAACAGTCAATGTTTCCTCACCTAACATAGCAGTCAATGTTTCCTCACATAACATAGCAGTCAATGTTTCCTCACATAACATTACAGTCAGTGTTTCCTCACATAGCATAACAATCAGTGTTTCCTCACCTAACATAGCAGTCAATGTTTCCTCACCTAACATAGCAGTCAATGTTTCCTCACCTAACATAGCAGTCAGTGTTTCCTCACCTAACATAGCAGTCAATGTTTCCTCACATAACATAGCAGTCAATGTTTCCTCACATAACATTACAGTCAGTGTTTCCTCACATAACACAGCAGTCAATGTTTCCTCACCTAACATAGCAGTCAGTGTTTCCTCACATAACATAGCAGTCAATGTTTTTTTTCACATAACATAACAGTCAATGTTTCCTCACCTAACATAGCAGTCAATGTTTCCTCACATAACACAGCAGTCAATGTTTCCTCACCTAACATAGCAGTCAGTGTTTCCTCACATAACATAACAGTCAATGTTTTTTTTCACATAACATAACAGTCAATGTTTCCTCACCTAACATAGCAGTCAATGTTTCCTCACCTAACATAGCAGTCAGTGTTTCCTCACATAACATAGCAGTCAGTGTTTCCTCACATAACACAACAGTCAATGTTTCCTCACCTAACATAGCAGTCAGTGTTTCCTCACATAACATAACAGTCAATGTTTCCTCACATAACATAGCAGTCAATGTTTTGAGTCTAATATCAAGTCCGGAATGGGACTCAACCCAACAAAAGTACTTGAATCTGTACTTTACTGAGAAAGTGTGATCCCAAATATAACATATGTTAATATCAACTTGAGGATATTTTCGCTGAAAAGAATCAGCTTCCGTATCTGTGACATCTGTTACTAGTTTGGTTCCTTGATAGCAAATCAACCATTGAAATACTAAATGATATTGTCAAAGAACTGATCAAATGATATTTTTCATAAACACAAACAAATTATTATGTGTGTCATTTTGCTCAGGACAAATGTGCAGTAACGGAACTTTCCGAAAAGAGTCAAGGTTTTAGTCCCGGTGTATCACAAATCATGACAAACTAATAAGCTGCAAGGATCAAGCATAACAATTTTATAATTAACAATGTGACTTCAAATTTACCATAAAACAATAGGACAAGTTTCATGTTTGTTACTTTGCACGTCCAAAGTACTTGGCTAAGTTATCCTGAACTTTCATGCTATCCTCACTTGATAACCTGCAGGACGTTCTGGAGCGATGTACCAGATTGGGTTCCACTAAACAGAGAATTTCCTGAAATGAAACCAACACCTCATCAAGTTCCTCAGACCATTTGAATTGACAATGAAAGGAATAAAACGCTTCTCCATCCACTTCATCCACTTCCAGAACTTGTCCAACGTACCACAGGTCATCATACACTGCAGCAGTAAAAGACTCTACGTCTGGTACCTGTGTTGGATTTAAAGAACCGTCAGCCTCGAGGGCAGTGAGGTCCTGTGATGTCCCAGAAGCTGGAAGAATCTCATATACAGATGCTTCTTTCACCAAAGCCCCAGTCATGGGAACCTCATTGTGGTTTTGTGCGTTACCATTGAAGATGACATGTTTTGTCCAACCATCACAAGGCTGAGGAAGGAATATATTGATAAATCATTTGGATGTTGCCTTAGACATTATTTATTTCATCAAACATATACCATTTCTCTTTTTATATTGTTGAACAGAGAAACGTGAAATCCGATACGTTACCGACAGAATGATCAGAAAACATATTATTTATCAATTCTATTTAATTCACAAACATCCATGCTAATCTACAAGTCAAAGAGCACCCAGTAAGCCAGAAAGACACTGTGATTACCAGCATATGGTGTTACTTTCCTATTTTCATCAGATTCCTCCCACAAATATCTTGATTACGTTTAAAAATCTTCTTCCTGTGTACTTTTTCAGCTGGTAACGTGTCAACTGACAGAGCTCACATCAACTGTGCACATAACGCGTGATTTAATTGTAATTTTCAGTGGGAAATGAAAAAAATACAGATAACGAGTAACGTATCTGTTTGTAACGAATCTGTGTGACAAAACTCGTTTCTGGGTTTGCTTTAGACAGGTGTAAACTGTAATGAGCATATTCGGGTCTGTATGAACTAAGTAAGGTGAGGGCGTTGCATGTGTATATGTTATACCGCAGTGTAAGTTACGTTTCGATTAATTCTAGGTTTCCTGGTAACATATCTGTTCAAAATCTCGCGTACCTTTCATAATTCACTGAAAACATGAAAATTGTCTATTTTACACATCATGGGTAAAGCAAAAGTTATGCTACTCTGCTGGCCTTCAGCGTCTTTTAAAGGTAGTTTTCATTAACAACAATCAGTTATACCTAAACACACCGTGTTTGTAGTAACAGTAACAGTTAATCTGTGTAGAGACAGCATCATTTGCTGTCATTGGTAGAGATTCTTTGGAGGAAAACCATATTCTAGGCTTTTATATTTTACACAGAGCTAGTCGGCAGCATATAAGACAATAACCTGCCTCATACTGATTACAGATGCGATTTTAGACAGGCCATATCTACCAAAGGGTGCTCTGGCGACAGCGTGATTTGTTACATTTGGCCTACTTTAGACAACTGTAAAATACCAAAATTATGGAAACATTGTAATTGTTTTTCGATTTAAAGGTAGATCTCACACTGTTATATGAACATCGACTACAACTGGTGGTTTATATGGCTATTTCAATCGTGAAATCCTAGAGCGACACAAAATGATGGTATTGGTGCCTGTTAGAGGAGAATGAATGTGTAAATATTACTTGTCCATAGGCTAACAAACAACCTGGTCAATGGTAAGATGAGATCGCTTGCCGTCTCCACCATGACGATTACATTCTGTTTTATTTAATATGCCAGACAAACGGCGATGGTATGTAGATATTCTTGTGCGGACCAAAACATCCAGTGATTATGATCACCGATAATTGATCTAACACAAGGAGCCTGACTATTCGTTTCCGTTGGTTGCCTTAAGTGGTACAAGCATGGATTGTTCAATATCATCATAAATTGCATAAATGTACTCTCCAAAATGTAGGATACCTTGATAGATAAATCTTCCCCGTCAGACGAAAGATCAGCTTTGAAATATGACTGCCAGAGATAGAAGAGTTTAGGAACTGAACCCTTTAAAACTCCACAGAACACCCGCAACACTGCACGTGGACCATGCTTGACTTTTGCACATTGGTGAGAGGTTGTCAATTGTCAGCAGTTCGAAGAACATACACAACCATCATCAAGATCAAGTTCAGCTTCACATTGACACCTTTCTTGCCACGTTGAAGACCAAAGTCCGGAGGGGTTACAGACCAGTCCAGATGGAATATCAAGTCAGTAAGATACTATATGTTATAAGTTTATATTCTATTTTATTTGTTATATATCTTATGTTTTTGTTTCCAGAACTCCGGAAAGATGTTCCCGAAGCAGTGCCTTCCAGCCTGTACCGATCTCGAGCCAAGGAAATGCCAAACCTGCCACTCCGGCGCGACGACGTCGATCTCCCCGACAACTTTCCAAAAGACGGCTACCAACGCGGACTTCCTGCTCCAAGCTACTGACCACAACAAGATCATGATATTTGCTACGGATGAAAACCTTCGTCACCTTGCTGCTGCTGCTGATGTATATTATTGTGATGGTACTTTTAGCATGTGTCCTTCTTTATTCTATCAAATGTACACTATACTATACTATACATGCTTTTGTTGAGGGGAAAATGTTTCCTCTAGTGTATGGCCTACTGCCTGATAAGAAACAATCAACCTATGCAGATTTCGGAAGACTTCTCAAGCAGAAGGCAGCTGAGCACAACATCAATCTACGACCTTCAACGTTCTTCCGTGATTTTGAGAAAGGTGCACAGAATGCAGCAACGGAAGTGTTCCAGTTTGAGCTAAAGGGCTGTAAGTTCCATAACAGACAGGCCCTGGTGAAACATGGAAGAAACTATGGACTGCAGGGACCTTACAAGAATGATGACAACGTGCGTACATTTGTCAGGCGTGCATTAGCACTACCTTTGGTTAGGGGGTGTGATGTCGACAACTTTTGGTTTCATGCACTAGAGAGTGTTGATCGGAATGACCAGGGTGTGCAACGGTTTGCCGACTACGTCACCGAGCAGTGGGTTGAGGGTGGCGAGCTGCTGCTCTGGAACCACTTTCATACAGATGGACCTAGAACGACCAATCACGTAGAAGGTTGGCACTCTCATTTAAATGCTCTGTCAGCCTGTCATCCAAACTTGTCCAAGTTAGTGGACCTTCTAAAAAACCATCAGTCCAGGGTGGAAATTACAATTACGGTTCCAGACGTCCCAGGAAGAAGCTGTATCGAGCCCTGGATGATCGTCTTGCAGTGCTGAAGGTGCATCTCGTGAATGGGGCTTACACCCCAGAGGCATATGGGGATATTGTCTCAGACCTGGTTGGTGTCCCTGTGTTGGAATAATGATGTATACTTCTGTAAATTTCTGTACATGTGTATATTTGTATATTCTGTATATTTATGATAACAAATATATTTATTTATGTCTTCAGTAACCATTTTCTGAAAATGTACCTAATGTGTAGAATAGAAAATATACCAAATTGAATTGCTGAAATAAAAATATCGAGATGAAGTATAGTGTGTTAGACCGTTTGTAAGATCGAAACAGACTATAAGTGAATCCCCTGTTATAGGGATTATCGCGCATCGGTGATTTTTTATTCCGAACAAAAGCGTCCGGCAAAACGGGAGCCCCCGTCGTGAGCAATGCCTGGAGGTCTTGCGGGAACAGATAATGGGCACCACGATATGATCATGTTTGCGCCTTTAACTAGACACGCTTGTATTGGTTTGTGTTGTTTATGCAGACTTTGTAGAGTTGTGCTTACTTTGCACCTTGCAATACAATATTCACATTAACCTTTAGCTGCATGTGGTGTTTGTGACATGACCTTTGACCTAGCCAAGGCTACTAATGTGTGCACCTTTACTTCCTCCTCTGGAGGAAGATTGGTACGTCATTCTTTCTCCCCAGAAGGAAGATGAAACTATCACAAACAGCAGATCACCAGTTGCACTCATGGCTGTAACACCCGTGTGAAAGGTAGGGTTAAGATATTCCTCTGATACAGCAAAACACAACTTGTCAATTGACACATAGCATGTTCATATCAATATTGTCAATATCAGTATGTGTTTTTATTGTGATATCAACCTAGATCAACATGTATTGATATCCAGTACGTCAGTTTGTGTTAACGCATATATTTCCTTCCAGCCACGCCATGGTGCTCTCCGTGGGTCTTGTTCTACTTCTTGCAGTAACTTCCACACAGGGTAAGACGGACATATTCTTCACTGTTTATTCATTATATTCAACATAATGACGTATATCATATAAGATTACACGTATTATTCCAGTTTAGGTTAGGTATTAATCCTTAGTTTACGTTAACCAGGGTTTATTGACGTGATGTGGATTTGACAGACTTTATCGCAACTCGAATCACCCTCACACAGAAATGTATCCTCTAGATCCTTCCCGACAGACCACATGTTATAAAGTCATTCTGTTTTCCACTCACTTTCTTACACAAGTAAGTGGAGTGAGTGGCAAAGTGCAAGGGTGTGCATGCGATCTCCCCTGCCGAGAAGAGCGTCCTCAATGCAATGGAGCACAGCTGTCAATAAACCTAGACTAACATCTAGTCTCGGAAATGAACATATTTACAGAAGCAAAATTATTCATAAAATATAATGAAAAAGAGCCCAGAGACTTCCTTCATTTTCAGTATGAAACTGTGGAAATCTAGACTTGCCACCTATTCTAGACTTGCACGAGCTCTCTTGGATATATTTGTTTCAGAGTCTGTATGACAAACTAGCAATAAACTATGACCAGCGTTTTGTAAAACGACTGTTCCGCTCCCAGTATCTTCGCAGTCACAAGAATCTAGAAACGTTTCCCCCGAAATGTATCACGAACTAAACCACTACATTATAGATGAAATGAAATAAAAATAAAAAATAAGAAATACACGAAACAATTTCGCAGTATATTTATGTTTTCGAATTAGACATTTTAAAAACATTTTTTCGTCGTACAAAAGAAATGAATACTGTATTATGTCCAAGCTATCCATGAATTCACTAGGAGGGTGTGGTAGTGATGAAGATATATCGAATTATGTTGATAGAGTTAACGATTTCATAACTGTCATATTAATCAATAAAGTTGATTTTACCTTTTCTCATTCAGCTGTTGAATTTGTTGTTTGTATGTTGTTTGTAAAATCAAAATCAACTTTCTTAAATCAAATATTAAGAAAACGAAAGAGATGGTAGTTGATTTTCGGAAAAGTAAAAGTGAGCTGTTGCCAATGGGGAACATTCCTGGAGTTGCGCCCCCTTGCCCGCCTGGAGCGCTGCGGTAGTTACGGTCCAACAGCAGCTGTCATTCTGACACTGGCATATAGGCCTGCCTATCGGCCAAGCCTAAACTTAAATCGACATTAAACCTACTTTTAACTCTGTGGTTCTTATATTACGAATTACGGAAGCTGGAAGTTGTCCCGACTGACTACTGTTGTCAAAGCACGAAGAACTAGCGTGTCTGGACGAAAAATAATGCTAACAGAACGGTACTGCAGTTATTGTAATATTGCCGTTTCTCGGAATTTCTTATTGAGTAGTTGCTTTGTAAATTCGTCAAACCATTTACTCCCCATTATGTCACATTACACAGAGCATTAATGCCGTGGTAATAGTTGTTAGAACATAGGATTAATGTACACTGAAATTAGCGTTACACAAATAACGTTAGCGCTGACCTGATTACGCGCACAACATAAGTGCTTCAGTTTTCGTTCACGTAAACAACCTATGTTCATAGCCTATAACGCTTTGGGATGCAATGGAAAGAGGAAATGCTATGGCAACGGAACATAAATCATTTTCATCGAATTAACGACTCGCTGACAGTGTGTTCAACAATATATATTACACCCATTCACTCGATAAATAAGCTCACAACTTCCGGTTAATTGTTTCTACATACATATTTAAAGGACCGTTCATAAATTAGTGAGGTGGGTGTTGTGATGATTTTTATGTACAATGTGAATGACCTCCCTATAATTCATGTACAAAGTAAGTCACACCCCCTTTGCATATGTCATATTCAAAATCAATTAAACCCACCCCATAATTTTAAGCATAATATTTTTTATGTACAAATTTACTTACACACACACACACCATATTGGCATATTGCTTGCACAATATATTTCTAAGTATCATTTGGGACTCCACCCCAATCTGTACCATTTTAAAGGCTGTCTCTTCTCAACACAAATAACCAGTATCTGAATGATAGATCACATTTTGAAAACACAAGAATATTATTTGAAATTGTGTTTCAGGTGTTGTCAAATAATGTAACTAAGCATGAGTGAATTACTGAAATATTATAAACACATTGAACCATTACTGGAGGTCGCAACTATATGATGCCAGAAGCAAGGGGTATCGGGTACATTGTCTTTTAAGGTGGGAGCCTTTTAAATTTGAATACAAATATTTCACATTTGTTATTCCAGCATGTGTGAAGGGTTTGCAAATTACATCAAGGCTCATCACAATTATAATGGACTCACAGTGTCAGTGAACACAGTGTGTATTTGAAATACTGAAACAAGGAATAATTTAAGTTTTAAATGGTAGTCTAAATGGTACAATTGAGATTCTACAATACTTAAGGTTATTCTCCTGTGTCAATTATCATCAGACAAAAATCAACAAAGTCTGGGTTGTCATTTCAGTTTTTATTGTTCAACATATTATATTCTGCATGTACGGACATTCATAAATATAGACATTCATACAGTAAAAAATGATGGTCTCCTTTGAAGAACCTTGATTAACACTTACATCAGATGCATGTTGATGTTTTCCACACTGACAATCATACTGTCAATACTGCTGTACAGATAATTTAGGTGACATGCATATGCGCCAAAAATGGAAGTACAACAGTGAAGTCTGAATACTTTGACAGTCCTGTGTAAATGAAAATTGCTGCAGCACTAAGCATAATAGTTAGTACTGGAAGCACTGCATGTTTGTCTCTGTGTTGATATACAGGTACTTTCATATTTGGCCTGTGCCCAGTCTGGAGAGAAAATGTTTGGCTCAATATTCTTGCCATCAAAATCATCATGGGTGATTGTTTCCTCCCCAGCGACCTCACTAAAGTTACATTCAACATCACAAGTATCCACCAGCATTAAGTGGGTCAGCTGATACAGTCCAGGGAAAGAATTGGTCATACAACATCTGTTTCTCTCTGTTGCCTCAGACGTATTCATCCTGGAAAACATCAGTGGAGTATTACTATCCAAACTGATACAGGGTAATATTATCTCATGACTGCCAGTTATGAGAAAATGTACCATTATCAGATTTAAGTTACTATTGTAGAAAAAGACATGTCACATAATGAACATATTCATTCCGATAGGTCAAAGGTGGAAAACATTATTCTTAACAAATGTTTCAACTACGGAGAAGCATAATTTAAATATGCTGACATTTTTTTCTCTGAGTGGCATTTAAAAGTTGGTGTGATGAACAACAAGGAGAGTTCTATGGATATACAACTTCTTTAATATAATATGAGCAACATTGTGGTGTAGCTACTAACGCCGTTATCAAGCAAGTAACTCTCCTAGTTAAAATTTTTTCTGATACAAAGAAGTGTGTTCAACAAGTACACCAGACATTATTCAGACAAATTCATATCAAAAGTAAACAAACACTAACCTGTAGCATGTGTATTCTGGAATCACCTGGGCCTCATCGTTGGGGACAACAGGCACCTGTAGGGAGATGTAATGTGATGCATTAAAGGGGAAAAGTCAATTGTGTATTAGCATTCTTGGTAAATTTTAATTCAACAATGAAGGGAGCAAAGGTGTTATTGTCAAACATAAACAACTTTGCACAATCATGTATATAATGATGCTAACTTGCTTTTTAAAGCAAGAAGAAAATGAAAGTTAACCCACAGGTTCACATGAAAATTTACTTGTGAAATGCCAATTACCTTAAAACATTGAAAATAATAATTTGGGGTTCCAATTTACTTGCCTACTCTACCTACCAGTCATCAGGAGATATAAGCATATGTGAAAATATCACAAACATTAGAATTTTAAGTAAATTACTCAAGGTAACTGACAACTGTATTTAAGATGCATGACCAGGTGTTGTATGAGAGACGACAAGCAGGTAAAATCAACAGGCCATATCACGTGATGAATGCTTTGCTTAGATATAATTGAAATATAGTTGAAAATAAATTCAATAGATTAACCTGAAATTAGAATGCAATAGCTGTGTTCAAGTACGGTGGAACATTTTGAAATAATGTTTACAATGAATAAAGCCTAACTACTACAGAAACTGTTTTATCATGTTTATAGCTTCACTGAGGTGCCGATTTCAAACGATAACATGAGTGGCATTCTACAGATGGTCACGCCTTGGGCTGCACCATTTGTAAAGCGAAAAGTGTACTGTACGTTTTGATTATTACTACAGTAAGAGGCCCCTAATGTTTCGCGTGAACAGTTCTGTACAGCATGTGTCCCTCTTAAGCAACACATTCTTTTTCCCTGAATCGATTCAAAACCCCTGCTCGTAATTTCGGTTGGCATGCACGTTAACTAAATTTGGCAAGGAGAATAACAATAACAACGTTTTCTTCAAACTGTAAAAGATACAAAATACGTGGTACTTACCATAATTAGTTACAGTAACAAAATCGCTCTGTCAGAAGAGGAAATGGCACACAACACTGAGAGTGAGACCAGCAAGAGCTGACTGCTACCTCGTCATGCTTTTTGTTTCATTCGTCGCTACTTTGAATGATAGTCAACCACCACTTCAGCAAGTTTTGACCTCTCGGACACGTCGAACCTCTATTGCAGCATCCCGAGGCACGGCAGCACGTTTCAGGCATCGTAATATTGCTGCGCATTTGAAATCGACCGTGCAACAAACTTTGAACGCCATCATTATGCCGGAAGTACACTTAGGACCGTAGTGATTGGCGCCATCTCTTGGCGAAGCTGTAAAGGGAGATAACTGAGGAATGTTCCCCATTTCTCCATGTTTTCATGCAACTGATGCTGCAGTTGCTGTTCACAAGGACCAGGGCCTAGATTTCCGAAGCTGTCTTAGCGCTAAGATAGTCGTAAGTTAAAGTTAATGTATGGCACTTACGACAATCTTAGCACTTGGAGAGCTTCGAAAATCTAGTCCCAGCCCTATAAAAT